TTCAATATTTTTTTCACACAAAGCGTTTGCATATGGCGTATGTGTGATTATTTCAATGTTGCATGGCAATGAATATTTTGAAATGAAGAATTGAATGCAAGTGTCAAGGTTTGTCACGGATTTTTCAAGCGTGTTTGTGAATGTTGTGTAAGTTTTTTTTTGGTAGCAGGTATGTATGTGGGATTTCGTTTGGATTTGTATTATATAAACATTTGAAAAGGAGATATAAAAGAGAGAAAAAAGAAAAGAAAATATTTGTATGTCCAAATTAAATTTCGATTACTTCCCAGCGTTTTGGTCATTTGTATTTCATAATGTGAGTGCTGTGTTAGGGAAAATAATTGTATTTGTTGGTTCATATTTTAGTTTAATTTTGCCAGAAGTTTTCTGAGTTATTAATTTATGCAAATGTGTTGTGTGAGAATGGATAATAGAAAATGAAAAATGTACTGATTAATATGGCATAAGGTATTGACTTCGATTCAGAGTTATTTCAGTGTGAATAAAAACGGCATCTTTTGCTTACAAAGTTTAAAAAATAAAACCTAAGTGAAGCCTTTGAAAGTTGTGGCTGATAAAAACGAGGAATTATAAGAAATAAATATTTTAAAATTTTTTTATTATTTCATCATCTCATCTGAATCAATCAATAAAATATTGATTTGTTAGTTTTTAAGACCGCTACGTTTTCCCATTATCTGCTCATGGAGATTCTTATAAAAACAAAGCATTAGAATATTATAATCTAGCTCCCGATATATTTCATAGCGCCCGAAACTAAGCTTCCTATAAGTCAGCTAAGATTTTTGCCTAGTAGCATTGCAGCTAACATAGAGTTTGCCATTAAAGCCTATCGGAAAAAGATCAAAGATAACTTTAAGAGCTTTGGTGGAGGTAAAAGGTAAAATATCCGTTAAAAGCACGGCCGCCCCGGGCAAAGCTCGCGCTCCCTTATGACAAATTTCCACTAGGCATTGAAATGACAAAAAATTTGAGGCATTTAAAAAAAGCCATGTGGAAATGAATTTAATGTCTGTTTCTTTAACGCAATGACACGAATATTTTTTAATGCCCAACTTTGCAATTAAAATTTTTGTCATTTAATACCTAGTGCAAAACCAGCATAATTCTCGTAGATGTGTACTATAACCTCGAAGAAAACATTTTTTTTTTGTGACAAATTCGAATATCTCGAGAACAAGACTGAGAACACCTGGCTAAATAAATTTCCAATAAATGGCGTTAAAAAAATTATTTTCATCCTTGAAATTACCTTCACAAATGTTAAAAATTTCTTAAATTTTTTGACTTAAAACAGTATGCAATGAAAATTTTTAAAAATTTAAAATAAATATAAACTGCCGGAACAAAGTATTGGCACAGCAAATTTTTCACAATATATGCAACAATTTCCATTCTAATATTTTTCCAATAATTTTATATAAAAATATGGTTCATTCAACAACAAAAAACATAAAAATATAATTCCTAAACTTTGTGCAAAACTCGCGAACATTCAGCAAATTTTCATGAAAAGTTTCAACTTTTTAATCAGATTTTTTTGAATTTTTTTGAGTGGTGTTATCGGATCCGCTGATTTCACGGCGAATTGTACCTTTTGTCAATATGATGTGTTCGTTGTAATTTTGCTTTGTACTAATTGACAATGTGCGTATAATTTGTTGTTGTAATTTTTTACACCCTTTTTTACCTTTATAAATTCGCCTTAGTCCCTCTGAATATACGTATGAAAATTTTTACTTTATCGTTATTTGTAAAAAAATATGGTCACCGTACACTAGACTATGCTCGTACTAACTCCTTAACATTTGTCAGAAAAAAATTTAAAACACTCTTTAATCAATCTTTAAGGTAATCAGTGGCTTCGGACCAATTTTCGAAGACAGTGCGATGGGTTTTATGTTGACTCTCAGTATTTCATGTGATCCGCAGCTAGCCTCTACCCTCATTTACTTCCTCGAACTTAAAGAGCTTTTCCTCTTCATACATAATATTCACATGCAAATGTATGATGTTGTAGAAACTGTAAACTAATCCTCAAAATGATGCAACGAATTTTAATTTGAACAACATTTTTATTTTATTTATGATTATATCCAATCAATTTACTTTGTTCCGATCTTATTCAAAAATATTAATTATAACAAATTTTACAATACAACATATGAACTAATTAATGTTTTTTTTGCAAATTTCGTCTTGTATAGATGTTTAGATAAAATTATATAAGTAAACTTATATAACTTATTCTCATAAAGTTTTAAGCGCAATGAAACGAATGCAATTTTGTACGATTTTGCATAAATATAATTTGATTTTTAATAAATATGTTTGTATGTATTTGTAGTGTAGCACGATTATATAGAGTATATTTGTGATTGTAGCAGTTTTTCGGTATGCATAATTTTCTAACTATACATATATGTATGTAAGTATGTTCGAGTGTGTATGTCCATAAGTGTTTTAGTTTTTGAAAATCAACTTTTTAATCGCATATTTTATGTAAATGGGCCAGTATATATGTTTTTGTTTTTAAGTGAATACTTGTTATAAAGTGCATAGATAAGCTTTGTAGTGTTTATATATGTGTAAATAGAGTATAATGTAAACAGTTTTATGAATTTATTTCCGGTCTTTTTTAATTTAATTCTCCATTTGCATACAGCGCAACAATTACCATGACTTAATACTTTGTTTAGGTATGGCAATAGTAAATTATATTCATTACACATTTTTCTGTTGTATATATGTATTTAAGTTTAATTACTTATAACATTTTTTTTTTTGTACACTTGGGCACAGATACACAAATATCGCTGCACTAATGTATTTTATGCCATATACAATAAGCATTGCTTTAAGGGTTAGATATAAAGTAAGCGTCATGCGTTGTTTTTATTGTTTTCATATTTTGTTAACACGTATGTATGTATTAAATTCAAAAACCATTTTCTATACCTGGCTGGTAGGTTTTCTTATGTATATGTAGACGCAGAAGCGGAAAAAAAGTGCGCTACCGCGAATATAAATTTGTATGACGGGGTCAAAAATCAAATGCCAATAAAATGTTTACATAAACCTGCTAAAAATTAGTGCTGCACATTAAGTTGAATTTAAAATAGTACTCTACCCTAGGCGGAAATTCAAGGTCCTAGGTTCGAAAAAAACTAATTGACGGCAGCGCCGTCTACGAAGTCATTGATGCCATTTTTTGGCGAAAACTGTCATTATGACTGACTTGGATTGACTAAGGGAACTACCCTTAAAAATTAAGTCAATGAAAGCCACTGTTTTCAAAAAAAAAAAATGTCTAGTGAAAGAGAGAGGCGTTAACTCGAATAGTAAAAAAGATAAACCCAGTCTGCCTGAGATAGTAGATGACTAATGCCATTCCCGACGAGGAGACATGACAAAATTTGTATTTATCGTAAACAGTCATTGTTCGCTCTTTGAGAACGTCTGTGATTGAGAAGCGATGACTTTCCGTGTCATACCAAAATATTGCTGAAATATGCAGAAAGCAATTTCAATGGATGATTCATCAAAGGTGAGTTTAGCAGAGTGGTACTTGAAGCATTTCTCCCCCAATGTCTATGATCCTATTACAGGTCTATTCTGCACGTTACCGAAGATTTTGTAACCGGAAAGTTTTATTACCAAAATAATGTTACCAGTTCTTGTCACCGGGGTTCTAGGTACGTTGGTAATATAGTTAAAATATTCAGCAATAAAGAAATGTGGATATTCTGGCATTGCAAATTTCACGGGGAAACATTTTGTTACCAGTTTATGAGATGGTCACCAAACTTACCAGTACACGGAATGTGAAAAGGGTAAAAAATTTACAGGAACTTTATTTACCGGTTACAAAATTTTTATTACCAGAATAGACCTGCTAATCCCTAAAATGGACAATCATATTTTTTTTGGTGAAAATTTGTTGAGACAAACGCACCTACTATAACGGTCCGATCATATCCAGCAGATATCTTAAGCGTTATAGATCTTTTTCTCAAGGAAACTGCTTCACTTAATGCTCTTATAATGAGGGATTTGGGATGGTGGCAAGAGCCGTAATTCTGGTATCGAAGTGCATCTCTTTCAATTAACTTTTTTGGCAAAAAATTGCGTGATTCGGGCCGAGACAGACTGTTTACTGGGCATACAAATTTCAAGTGGTTTTTACTGATGTACAGTGCTAAATTTAAATAAATAAAACCAAACGAGGAAAGGAGAATCCCGACTTTATTCAATCTCACGCATACTTCCATATTTCGTTGCCTTTGATATAGCTTTAAAAAAACAAAAATCCACTCTACAGTAACCTCCGCTTTCAAAATTTAATTAAGTACGAAAATCAATTAACAAATTGGTTCAAATAAGGGTTAAACGTAGTCAATTAATCGGAGGATACTTTACCAGTTTCTGAAATGAATTAAGTTAATGCTATTTAATGCCAATGATTAAGGATTAATTGTTGATATTAGTCTGTTGGTTTAAAGATTTAGGCAGCAGTGTAGTGTGTGTAAAATATTGACTAACATAGCTTAATGATTCTTAATTCAAAATTAATTTTCAATAGTAAATAATTTGTGCTTTCACTAGTTATATGCATTCTTAAATATGAATAATACTTCATTTGACTAAAAATGTCTTCTAAAAAAATTATATGCAATTGGCTAGTTATTTATGTTTAACGCTATTTCGTATGCTCTTCTATGTAATTGAATTGTTAGCGTTTTTTTAATGATTGCGCTTAACGATTGGCCGATCATTTCATTTTTTCTTTTAAAATATTTTGAATTTTCGTAACGATATCTCGAATGCGAATTTAGGCTACGAGTGGTAAATGGAAACTATGCAAGTAGTAGTAATTTGTGTAAGTAGTGGTCGTTATGTTTGTGGTGGTGGTGGAGGTGATGGTATTATCTTTTAGTTATGTATGTCTAATTTAAGTTGCGCATTAGCTTAACACTTACCGTAGCCTTCGCCTTGCAGGAAAAGCCTGAAGGCTTCGGCCAATTTCGCTGGCTGCTCCTCCAGCACCATGGCGCAATCGGAGATCTGCAAGCAAAACCAAAAAAAAAATATAAAGTAAATTCCATTCCAGGGATTTCGTCATAAATTCCGCTAAGCTATTTAGCAAACCTTCATCCAAGATGAATTTGTTGGATCCAAGCGCCCATTAAAGGTAACCGTATCATCGACATGTGGCGACAACGCGCCAGTAATATTGATCACTGGCATTTTCAGTGTGCATGCCGATGGCTGTGTGCCGGGAGTGCCTGGTGGCGTGCGTGTTATATTCAAATCGTTGCGGTGTATATACGAATTGATAAACATAGCCAAATTAGTGGGATTGACACCACGTTCAAAGTGTTGCTTATACATTTGCACCAAATCGTGATTACGCTCCTCTGGATTGCGTCCGAAATGATGCCACATCAGGTAGTCGACGACACTCTGAGTCATGCCTTTGGTGCGCAAGAAGCGTGCATTGAAGCTCTGATAGCCCCACTCAATCCAACCGGACTGTGTCGACACGCAATTGATTAGCACCAAAGCGCCGACCTTATCCGGATTGGTGTGGGCGAAACGGGCCAATATATTAGCGCCAGCGCCAACACCAAAACCAATCACCGACTTGAGTCCAAAATGTGACATCACAAAGACTAGCTGAGCGGCCAATTCATCCATGGTAGGATAGATGTAGCTGTGGAAATAAGATACATACATAGTAGTATATTGGGCGTCCATACATCTACATATACATAAAATAGATATCAATATTAATATTTACTCTTCCGGCAATGTAGGTGCACCCTCCTCTTGTCCAGGCGCTGTAACATGATAGACGCAGAAATTCTCCAGCAGCCCACGCATTGGTGGGAAATTGAAGAAACCAGCAAAGCTAGTGGCATCTAAAAAAATAAGGATAGAGTTAGATGGGGTAAAAAGAATTATTTCAAAATGCATAGTTATGTACACAAGTGCAATATAAGTACAGTGAGTGTCAGTGAAACTCGTACAGGAAATTTTTTTCCATTTCTTTTTTTAATTTTGTTTTATTTAAATCTTATTATTTTTAATAAAAATGTAGTTCACATTACAACAAAATCCATATAACTCAAAGATTCTAACTTTGTAACAATTAAAAAAAGTCGTCAAATTTTCTTCAAAAGTCCACACTTTTTATTCAGAATTTTTAGATTATTTTTAGATATGCAGTTTTATAGCCCATTCAATTTTGGTTTAATAAAGTGAAAGTTTAAGTGGCTGTAAGATACCGTAGATTTTTGGAATTTTTTTGTTGATTTTTATTTTTTTTTGTTGACGGTGTTGTGCATCTTCGTTGATATCCGAATGGATCGCATATTATTTCATATGGAAGAAAATACCGTCAACAAAAAAAAAAAAAATTCCAAAAATCAATGGTATTTTGTAGCCACTTCAAACTTGTACTTTATTATACTAAAATGCATACCCGAAAAGATTCTCAATAAAAAGAGTGAAAACTTGATGAAAATTTGAAAAATTTTTTTATTGTTACAAAGTTACAAACTTTGTGTTGGATATGGATTTCGTTGTAGTGTGAACTATCCTGTTTTTTACCAATAGAAGGAAGTTCAACTTGAGGCAAAATATCTAGGCGTAATACTAGATAACAGACTCAACTGGATCTCGCATCTCACAGCGGTTGCCAATAAGGCCATGAGAGCATTTTATGATTGCCAAAGACTTCATCGTAATACTTGGGGAATATTCCCGAAATTAACATAATGGTCATTCAATACGGCAATAAAACCGATTGTCATCTATGCCTCACTGGCCTGGTAGCCAAAAGCCAAGCAGGAAACCTCTAAAGTCACTCTGGGTAAGCTCACCCGCCTGGTTTGTGTGGCCATAATGGGGGATATGCGCTCGTGTCCGACAGAGGCGCTTGGTGTCATCACAGGCATACCGCCTCTAGCCGGAGCGCCCTGAGGCTACCGAAACTAAGTATAAAGCTTGAAAAGTGGCCACTTGAGTGTCCTAAAACCATTCTTAAACGATCCCGTTGTAAAACTCACAGACTTAATGCTACCGAAGCTGACCTTTACAAAGCCCTACACGGTAATGATATCTGAAAGGGATACCTGTAAAACGATAATCGCCATGTTCGGCGAGAGAACTTGAAAACCTGACGATGGGGACACTGGGGCCGACATATATGGACTAAGATTTCAAAAAAGCGTGGCGATGGGCCAGGCGGAAATTTTTCCAATTGAAGTCTGTGTCCACGAATGTCTTCGCAGAAGGACACATGGGGAGACAATAAACATCATGTTGGCTAGCCAGGCAGCGTTAAGAGCACTTGACTCTTGTAAAACGGTGTCAAAGGTAGTAGACAGTTGCAAAAGGGTACTGGTTAGACTAGGAGCCAGTAACAGAGGCAACGTAACGATGGCAACGAAAGGGCTGACACTCTAGCGAAATGCGGTGCCCAACGGAGCCTGATCGGCCCTCAGCCTCTCTTTGGTTCATCCAAAGGATACACAGCCGAGCTCCTAAGGGGATGGGAGGACTTGCAAGTTACCACCCAATGGCGCTCGACACAGGACAATAGGCAATCAAAAAGATGCACAACTCCCTCTCGAGGAATCTCTTAAGGGCTGCAAAATCGTATCAGGGAGGGTTTAAGAACTCTCACCAGACACCTGACAGGACATTGCAGGCTGAGGTACCATCTGCACAAGATGGGACTCTCAGAGGGCCTGGGTTCAAGCCCTGGTCGGAGCAACATCGCAAAATATAGAAAAATTTGTTTTCTTAACAGCGGTCGCCCCTCGTCAGGCAATACCAAACCTCCGAGTGTATTTCTGCAATGAAAAACAGCTTCTCATAAAAATACAATCGCCGTTCGGAGTCGGCGTAAAACTGTGGGTCCCTCCGCTTTGTGTAACAACATCAAACCGCAACCCACAAATCGGAGGAGAAGCTCGACCCAACACTAACATATGTGTAAGCGCTAATCTGTTGTGATGGCTTTATCGCAAGGATAAAATGATACGATACTCTCTTTCTCGTGAGGGCGCTGTAAAGCATCCTTCAATACTTCTACTGCGGCGAAAAGCATATTAGAGTATTTCTTGAGAAAAACTTTTTGAATTTTTCTATCTTTATTTTTAACAGCCGTTTTCCTAAGTAACTTTTAAAATTATCTGCCCCTCAAACACAACTTTTGTCTTTAAAAAAGGGAAGATAAATTAAGCTACTCGAGAAAAAGGCACTTAATTTTAAAAGATTCTTACATTATCACTAACAATGCTTTTACTTAAAAACCCTGTCCGCCAATTCAGCAGAAAAATCAGAAAGTCGCGTATCACTTTATTCATGTCCCTCAAAATCGAACTAAGAAGAACTCTTTTTTTTTTTATAAAAATTAATCATACTCACAGTTCAATCCCAAATCATGATACGTTAAAATGGCTGGTTTAGAAGTGTCACCCTGTATGGCCACATGTATATCCCCTTTATCGGTGGGCACACGACGTTGATCGCATGCCTCCAAAATAGAGCCGCGTGCATTCGGGAATTGCAATTGCACAGACCGCAATTCAATATCGTCCATGGGATCGATGGGCATGGTGCTGAAGGGGGAAAAATATGAGCAACATGGAAAATATTTATATGTGCACACATACATATATATTTAGAAAAAAATACTTTCTTTTAAGTATAATAATTATGCAAGTTCAACCTGACTTATCATGAATAACTAACTGCTGGGCATTATACGTATAAATTTTATATGCTAAGTGGTAACTTTTGAATTTTGGTAACTACTTAGTTAGATGAGAGGAGGTCTTTATGATTTTCCAATTGGTATTTGAGCATTTGGTGTGTATGTAAAATAAGCGTAGAGTTTGAGCTTATGGTGTGGAATTGTTGTTACTCTAAAACTGATGCATTTGCTTTTACTAAGTATGCAAGTTGAACAAACTAGCAGGTAGACTGGTTAAATAGCATATATTTTTTTATTTTGTTTTAATGCTATCGGATTGTGTGCTCACAATTTGGATTTTTCAAATTTGTGAGTCTGATTGCAAAATACAGTCATTGACAAATATATTTGGACACTGATTTTTTACCATACTCAAAATGTTTTTCGTGGTAAATTTTTTTCGTTCATTTTTTTAAATAAATTTTGAACGCATTCTACAATAAAAATTATGTAAATCAAAATTGCAAACTTTGGAAAATTAGAAATTTTAGGAAAATTCGGAATACAAATAAAATTGCGTACCTGAATTTATTTTGAACAAAAAAAAGTTTGAAATTTTGGTAAAAATTTACTGCAAGGTTTAAAATTTTTATTTACATGATTTTTGATGTAAATTGAGCTCTATATTTATAAAAAAAATTAACACAAACAAATTTTCCATTAAAACATTTTGAATATCGTAAATGTGTTTCATTACTTTTGCCAGTGACTGTACACGTGTTTGTTTTTTTTTTTTATTTTTGCTAATTTTTTATGTGCGTGTATATCTATTTATGCAAATCAGACTAGTGTGTAAATACGTTCAGGCTTAGGCTTGAATATTTGTTAAGTCAAATCCATTGGTAGTGTTTATAAAGTATGTTTTTTTTGTTGCCATATTTTACTTTTCTAAAATACTCAGCCGAAATTTTATTGCAACTCTTTGCTTGCAGGGAATTTAAAGGAAAACTATCATACAGCTGCTAAGCTAAGTGTTTCAAGTCTAATAATAAGCTATGTATGTATAATTCTAAAAATCCAAGGATAGTTTATAAGCTAACGAGTATGGTTAAAATTAAAGTAAGTTAAAATATTAAACGAATAATCATACAAAGTAAGATTTTTCTATTTGTTTTCTTGTACGTTATAAAAGCTAAGGAAAATGCATAAAATTATATTCTATTTAAATTCAAAAATATTTTAGTAAATTAACAAAAGGCGGGGGGCTAAATATATATATATAACAGCAAAGTGGTTTTTGGGTTTCTTTTACGCTCACACACTGTTATATGCACGAAAAGTCATTTGGTTTGATGTAAATTTTGTATACATATGTATATTGCATTGTAGATTTTTTTTTTTTTTGATTCTTTCAAGATGAAAAACTATTTTCTTATGTATTTAGGTTGTAGTTGCTATTTAGTTGTAATTGTAATTGTAATTGTAGTAGTTTATTGTAGACGTATGATGTATGTATTGTAATTTTCAACGCTCTTACCCCAACAGACGTGCCTCCTCGGCCGTGTGTGTCGGCGCAGATGGCATCTTCGTGTTCAGTGGCTTACCAATTTTGTCCCGGTCTCTGAAATAAATACTATAGACATGCAAGCGCAAAGAAAACAATTTTCAAAGAAAAAAAAAATGTACATAAGTAAAAACTAAACATTAATCATGAGCGTATTTTCTGGTGAACTTTTAGAGAGTGTATAAACTGCGATTTATTGGACCTTTTTTATTTAGGTAGTCTTCCCATAAAAAGGTAAATTCAATGATCTCATTAGGCAAAAAAAACCAAATGGGTGTGCTCTTTTGAGCTTTTGCACCTCAATCGTGATAAAAAAGTTATTCACAATGGGATTGATAAGCGCCAAAGCTTAATATGATACTCGCATAAAATTTTTTAAATGTTAGACGAAAAATTTATTTTGTTATTTCAACTCTGTATTTTTTTTATTGTAAACTGTTTATTATTTCTATTGTTTTAGTTTGAAATTGCAATTACTCAAACATTTTCCAAAGTACTTTTCAATGAAATCCCCAAAATTTCGGTGCTCTCGAAAAGCTCATAAAGATTTCGCTCATAAGTAACGTTTTAAGCCAAATATAAAACATGTTCTATAAAAGAAATAAGTTTAAAGGCATTAAAAAGAGAAACATTTCAAGAAAATAGGAAAGAGCGGAAGGCTAGCATTCATCATAGTAACGAAATTTAATGCAGTTAATTTTTTGAGTGGGTGTATGCGTACATATATATGTATGTATATGCGTATGTTGTGTGATTAAGAAAAATATGAAAGACAGACAGGAGATAGCTTGATATTATGTAAAATATTAGTAAAAGCATTGGAAATGTCCTTATTTAAAATTTTATCTTTTAAACTTTTATGTAATTACAACAGCGAAGGGCAAAGAGAGCTTTTACTCTGCAGGCCTCTATACAAAATACATAGCAAGCTTAAAAGAGCTTTGCCCGCCGGCAAGGCTATGTCGATCTCCGAATTAGAACAATAGTGGTCAGAGAGATATTCTACTCTATTTCCGTATGGTACTGACGATCTGAGAGAGAGAGAGAGAGAACTTTTACTCCCTTTGTGTTCATACGTATAAAATATGGAGGAAGCTTTAAAACCTTCTCTTGCTGGATATGTTTTGCTAGTGACTGCCGTATAAAAAGTTTATACAAGCTTGGCCTATAAACCAGCGTTGGGCAGAGAGAGCTTTGGCTATGCATGCTTGCGCGCGTGTTTAAGCTTTCTATACATTTTTACCTTCCTTTTATTAGCTCGCAATGTAACTATGTAATATTGATGCGCCTAAAAGATGCAGCGATTTTTATTCTCAAGTTACATACCTGATGACAGAACGAATGGCAATTATAATAGGGAGGTTCTAGTTTTTTAAACTACATATAGTTTTATGTATAGTCGCGTGCAGAGTAAAAGCTCTATCTGCCCATTGCTGCTGTAAACCAAGGGTACAAATCGGTTTTGTAACGAACCTAACCGCCGCTTTTTTCGTGCTTCTAACCGAACTACCAACAAAACCGAAAATTTCTCGAAAATTTTTATATGCGCTCCTGTGTTGGCAGAGGAGTCGTGGTGAGTAGTTCGACAAAATGTTTTGTATTTTATTTATAAAAGAAAATCTGCGTACTAAACTTTAACCTGCTTTAAGGTTGAATTATAAAATTTGTGCTTACAGCAAAAATGTAAAAAATAGATATCATTTTTTTTTTGTCAAATTTGCATAGAAGAAATGTATGCATACATGTATATTAACATATGGTAAAGTAAATCACCAATATAAGAACACTTCCCATACACATACCGAGCATAGAAGAAGTCTTATGTGATGGATTAAATTCTGTCGATTTCTATGATATTTAGTATGCCTTTGGCTAGGATGGCTTAATTAAATTAATGAATTGATAATAAAATTACTTCTTTATGAAAATATGTAGTAAATAACAATATGTATGTAGAAAGATATGAATCGCATTGCCTTTTATTGTGAAAAAGGAGAAATCAAAATAAGTTTTGAGCATATTTATGTACATACTCGTATGTATGTAAATCTAGTTTCGTGTAAAATTAAAGCTAAAATGAAAAATCAAAATAGCTAAACAATGTAATAAATTTGAGATGCAAAGCAATAATTTACAAAATGCTTGACTGGCAATAAGTATAAAAAAGTAGAACATTACAAGGCCCTCTTTAAAAGGAGTACATACATACATATATGTACTTAGATACATGCAGATTAAAACATAAAAACAGGCAGGCGAATGCAAAGGCTACAAAAACTAGCGCAGACAAAAGGATAAATACATGCAAACGTATCTTACAAGGAAAAATGTTTGCGCATAAAAATATTAAATAGTTGTGCTTAAAAAGCACAAAGCATAAAATATCTTTCACATTCTGACGCCAATAAATTACGTTCACTTACATACAGACATAATAACGGGTGATTTTTTTGAGGTTAGGATTTTCATGCATTAGTATTTGACAGATCACGTGGGATTTCAGACATGGTGTCAAAGAGAAAGATGCTCAGTATGCTTTGACATTTCATCATGAATAGACTTACTAACGAGCAACGCTTGCAAATCATTGAATTTTATTACCAAAATCAGTGTTCGGTTCGCTTTACGTCCGATTTATGGTCTACATAATCGACCAAGTGAGCAAACAATTAATGCGATTGTGACCAAGTTTCGCACTCAGTTTACTTTATTGGACATTAAACCAACCACACGAATGCGTACAGTGCGTACAGAAGAGAATATTGCGTCTGTTTCTGAGAGTGTTGCTGAAGACCGTGAAATGTCGATTCGTCGCCGTTCGCAGCAATTGGGTTTGCGAAACACATATCGAACCGAACACTGATTTTGGTAATAAAATTCAATGATTTGCAAGCGTTGCTCGTTAGTAAGTCTATTCATGATGAAATGTCAAAGCATACTGAGCATCTTTCTCTTTGACACCATGTCTGAAATCCCACGTGATCTGTCAAATACTAATGCATGAAAATCCTAACCTCAAAAAAATCACCCTTTATATAAAAACTATTAAATAAACAGGACAGAGCGTATGTCGGTAAATTTGTGAATACAAATTATTCTTTTCTGTATTTTGTGTCCTGCTTTTGTTGGTCCTTTTCGCCCGCAAACGTAAATATATAAAACGGTATTCGATCGTAAAATTAGAAAGTAGGCGCCACAAAAGCGGCGCATATTTCACACAACTCTCACATTCAAAAAATAATTGGTTTGCATGTACATACATACATACATACATACACATTGGTAGCTGCCTGATTGTAAATCGAAATAGAGAAATGGGGGCATCCAATCCCAAGCCAATAAAAAAATCCTTCATGAAAGCAGTCCAACGAATTTTTAACTCCCGCACCAAGCTCCACAATCTAAGCCAAAATAATCTGGAATAGTGCAAATCTAATCAATATTTTTTTCCCATTCGAAGCCATAAAAAGAAGTTGTTGTTTTTAGAATTTTTATAGTTATTCATTACGACACACACACAGTGTGTTACTTTCCTCTTCTAACTGATAGCTGCGGCAAGTTTTATTATACGGAAACCCTATTCCTGCCGCATGCTTCCAAGGTGCCATTGTTCCGTTATGGTTGCTATTATTCTTCATGCTTCTGTCTTTGATCCACCAAGCAGGTTCGAGTTCTTCGTCTTGTTGCAGTCAGGCTAGAGTTCCCTTGTTAACTTGCAGATCTGTATGTATATGTTTGAAACAAGCCAGTCCAAAGAAATGTAGATTCATTTCTCTTTGGATCATTACAAGAGCGCAAACCAGTGCAACCGCTTCAGCCATTTCAGTAGCTCCCTCAGTGCCTTCGAGGTATCTATCTATCAAAGTATCTAGCTCTTAAAGTATCTGATTTGTTGTTTTGTTTTTATACCCTTTTCTATTAATTAAGATTTTACAGGCTTCAATGATACATATAACTTCCACCAGGGAGATCCTTATTATCCCTTGCCAAACGCCAATTGCTTCAGAGTAGACTTCTGATGGTACACCGAAGCACATCTGTCGCTGTACTTATAAAGATATTGCCTTTTTATCGGAAATAGTTCAGTATTTTCAACAATAGGAATACAAATAGCAACAAAAATAGCCGACCTACCAGAAGCTACCATAAGCGAAGTAAGTAAATGCATCAGAAAATTCAGATACATAGAGAATAAATTTCTCTCAAAATGGCGCTAATTGTGGAAGAACTGAAACCAACCAACAAATCAATCCTTTGATCCAGTTGAAATAACACGATTCCTGGGCCTACCGCTGGTCGAACTTGACGACAACGAGTTAAGGGCTAGCCGATTTAGGCAGGGCTTAGTAGTGGCGTTACTGCAAAAATATAACAACAACCAACCAAAAGTGTGTTAACTACAAAGTAGCTGAATTCGAAACAATGGACCGTTTTCTTAAATTTCAAACCTCAAAACTTGATTTTCGGAGGAATTTTCAAATCGACCCAGCTCACGTAAATCTTAATATTTTTCCGAAATATTATGGTGGTAGCCTTAAAATATAATACATTTTATAATACCGATACAAAAACAGCACCGATTCTTTTTTTTTTGGAGAGTAATGCACCCTAATGTACACAGATGTAAACTTCAAAGGCACAAAAATCCTAAACAGCCGTCAGTACAAGTGTTTGCTTCCATATTTTTCCAGTAGCTTCAAGCGGAAATCAAAATTGGGATCACCACACTCAACCAGCCAGGAAACCACCACCCGCATATCCACTTGAGAGAGTCGCTAGGTCAGAAGCACTCAAATGCATATTCAGCAAAAGTCCAACAGCACACAAAGCGCTTGACTTCTATGAACAAATATTGTATGTAAGTATGAGTAAATATGTGAATATACATATCTTTGTCCTAGGCAAACACGAATTCGAAATAACATTACGCCGCTTTTAGTTTTACGGGTGAATAAATTTCAATTGGATTCACTGGCTCTGCTATGGAAATGTAGTTAAAGGCAAAGGTAAACAGCATAACTACAGGCCGAGCAGATTCAAGTAAAGGCCAGCCTAAA